CATAGCATTTGGTCCCACCAAATTCATATCCAAACGCGGCATTGCATCACTGCTGGAGGAACCTTTGTTGTAGCTCCCCCTGGGGCTAGGTCCTGAATGTCGTTCCTTGGGACCTCAAAGTTGAAGTAGCTGGTTGCAAACCCCCGAACAGAGTCTACTCCCTGGCCTTTCAAAATTCACAAGGACATAGTCTCCAGACTCTTTCCTTTAAATTGAAAGAATAAATGCGGAAGCAAAGAGCCGAGGCCTATGTTTATGGGCCCCAGGTATGCCTTAGGTCTCTCTTTACAGAGTGATCCCTCTTCTCTCACCAGAATGCCTCCAGGCAGAAAGAAGACAAACAAAAGAGAAGCTGACTGTACCCATTCACAGAACACAAGCAGTCATACTGTAGCCACAAAGTTTATTAGGCATAGAAAAAATAAAAGGAAAAAATAGTTTTGTTCCCCATAGGGCCCTCTACCCAACTCATCCTGACCACCCTGTCTAGACTTTGGAGTGCCCGTGGAAAGGTTCTGAAGCACCCATACCACAGGTGTGGATAAGAAATAAGACAGGACGTGATTGTGTCTAGAGCTCTGGATCTCAGAGTTTAAACCAGGAAGGCAAAAACAGTACAGAGAAAGGTGGATTTCCCTGCCCTTAATTTACTATTGCTATAGGCTCCTGAGGCAGGCGGTGATTCAGCGGATAGAGCACAGGGCCTGGAGTCAGAAAAATCTGAGTTCAAATTCAGCCTCAGACCCTTCCTCGCTGTGTGATCTGGGCAAGTCACTTAAGCACTGATTGCCCTACAAAATGGATCCATCTGAGAAGGAAAGGGCAAACCACTCTAGTATCTTTGCCAAGAAAGACCCAAATGGAGTCACAAGGGGTCGCACATGAGTGAAACAACTAAACAACCACACAGCTCTCGGGTAGCTGACAGCTCCAGCCCTTGATCTCAAGGTCTCTGGTTCTCACTTCTGCTTACGGTCTGGTCACTTCTGCAACACTGGTCTTGCCTCTGGTCTTAAATACAAACAGAGGCATGGGTCCTGGTGGCTGCAAGGATCCAAACACTCTCACCCTTATTATGGGTGAGAATCCTCAGTTCAACTGCAGTAACCCTCTGCCCCCACATCCTGAATAGCAAGCAGTCTTTTTCTAAGGCAAAGGAAGAAGGGACATAGATGTAGCAGTCTGCTGGTAACTCCCAGCTCTCGGCAGGGGGTGGGGGGAATATACTCACAATTTTTAAGTTTTGTCTACATTTAAGTTTAATCTAATTTTTTGTTCTCTCCATCACTTTCTTAAGTCTGTATAATCAACCAAACAATAAATCAAGCCCTGATTTATTTACATACATATGTGTGTGTGTGTGTGTGTGTGTATATAAAACATGTAATTAATTTATTTACTTGTCAATTTTCAAGGTGGAAAATTACTAACAGGCAGACAAAGGTTTAGTTCTGTGCTCTAGTTTAAATTTATGTGTATCTTAAGCTAACTCCTGGCCTTTTTATATCTGAGGTAAAAATCAGGATATAGGAAACATTTAGGTAAAAGAGAGGAACAAGAGTATATTAGAGGACCTGCATCCATTAGACAGCGACAGAAAAAGGAAGTTGGGACAAGAGCAGACTTTTTTCTTTTTTGGGGGGGGGGTGGCAGGAGGAACTATCCTCAGTCTTTGATGAGGTGGATACAACCTGGAGCTTTGGCCTGAGTCTTTTGCACCAAAATACTTGGGGTTCGAGGAGCAGGGGAGGGAAGCAAGATGTGGGGGGAAGGAAGAGTCAATGGTCTTCTTTTTATTTTTCTTTTAGTCTCTCCTTTTAGTTTCTCCTTTTGCCTGCTGCACATTCTTCATGGTTCAGATCTTTAAGGCCTACAGAAGCTGAGCTTGGTTGCTTCTGCTCAGCTTTTGAGGTCCCTACTTCCTTTCTGTGCCTTGCAGACTATGTCCCTTTAAGAATACCAGAACATGACTCAATTCCACCTTCCATATCAAATATTACCATTGTCCCAAATTGCTCTCAAGGATAAGAGGAGAGTGCCTGCCTCTCAGAACTATGAATCCTAGGGTGCTGGTCAGTTCTAAAACTCCAATTATTTAGGTAATTCCTTAACATCTTGACATATATGCAGGTCTCACCACTTTCTGTTGTTTCATCAATCTGTTTCAATTTTGGAACTACTGGATCAAGTCAACAAACATTTATTAATCACCTACCATGTGTCAGGCACTGTGCTAAGTGATGGGGATACAAAGAATGGGGAAAAACAGTCCCAGCATTCAAGGAGCTCACAAGGTTGTACAAGCAAGATATATACAGGATAAATTGGAGTTAATCTCAGAGGGTAGGCACTAAGAGTAAGAGGCCCAAGAAAAGCATTTGATAGAGGGGTGGAACTTTTGCTGAGACTTGAAAAAAGCCAGGAAAACCAGGGGCAAAGATGAGAGAGAGAATTCCAGACATGGGAGATAGTCAGTGGAAATGCCTGTAATCAGGAGATGGAGTGAGTTGTATAAGGAAGAGCAAAGAAGCCAGGGTAACTACACAAGAGTATATGGCTAGGGATGGAAAGGAAGTCAAGAGCCAGGTAGGTAACAAGGAGCTTTAAAAGCCAAACAGAGGATTTTATATTTGATTGGGGAGGTAATAGGGAGCCACTAGAGTTTATTGAATGAGGGCAGGGTGACATGATCTGACTGGGGACCCCTAGATGAGATGGTACTAAAAACACTCAATGCAATTACATTAATATTTAATTACATGTAGATGTCTTGTTTTGCCTCTCCCTTCTTCAGTAGAATATAAACTCTTTGAGGGCAGAGACATTTTATTTTTGTTTTTGTATCTTGATACATAGCATTGTGCCTTACACAAAGCACTGAAGAAATAGGGTGTGGGGGGTTTGTTAGATATATAAACAGTTTTAAAGATATAATTTTAAAATACTTAGGTTTGAGACCAGCCTTGACAATTAATAGGAACCTAAGATATTCGAGTTTTATGGGATTTTAGAAATTATCGATTCCAACCTCATCATTTTACAAATGAGAACTAAGATTCAGAAAGTCATATAATGACACAGTATTTGACTTGGAAGTGACCCCAGTAGTCATTTAGTCAAATTCATACCCGGGAAGTCCGTGTTATACATACTTAAGTGGTCATCCGGCCTGTACTTGAAGACTTCAGCCCATTCCACTTACTGATAAATAGTTGTAAATAGTCAATTTTTCCTGATTTTCAGCTGGAATTTTCCCCTGCCAATTCCATACACTGCTCTCTATTTTTTCCCTAGTGAACTAATGAACAAGTCTAATCCTCTCCCTCTTGACAGCCCTTTAAAATTTAAAGTTTAAATACTTGTTAAGTCACAAGTGACTTGCCCAAAGTCACACGAGGAATGGTACATGCATGGTAAGGCAGGAATTGAAGCCAGGTGATATAGGGACAAGTACAATGGATTCAAAGTCAAAAGATCTGAGTTCAAAGCTCAGTTCTGTTATTTTCTACCCATGTGATGTGGAGTGAGTCACAACTCTTGTGAACTCAAATGAGTTTAAGCACTCTAACATCCCTTCATACTCTAACTCCAAATCTAGTGCCATTTATGCTATACCATTGGCTCTGTGATCTTGATCATATATAATCTCTTTGTTTTGTTTTAGAGGCAATCAAGGTTAAGTGACTTGCCCAAGGTCACATAGCTAGTAAGAGAGACTGAGGCTGGATTTGAACTCAGGTGCTCCTGACTCCAGGGCCAGTGCTCTATCCACTGTGCCACCTAGCTGCCCCCCTACAATCTCTTTGAGTCTGTTTGCACATATGTAAAATGGGAATAATCCTTGTACCATCTATGCTGGGAGGTGGTGGTGAGGAAAGTGCTCTGTAAACATTTAAAGTACTTTTGATGTGAGTAGTTATTACTTCAATGGGTCTATGTGCTCATCCCAATTTGGATACTCTTGGCAATGGTGTGGATCTCAACCTGTCCTCACCTTCTCACTCTGTATGCTTTTTGGCAGCATCCACCTATAAAATCTTCACATAAGTTCGATCCAACATGCCAGACGCTTTCTTATAGATCTTTTCATGGTTTGTGGGTGCCTGGGAAGCAGTTGGGACTGTCCATCTGTCATTTGTTTCACTTTCAAGGTGGCTAGCCCACGTCCTCTTCAGATCATGTATTATGTTATCCCTCTAAGCTACTTCTTGCACATAAGTCACTGTTGGTAACTGGCTGCAACCTACTTATACCCTCCATGAGTCAAACATTTTCTTTTTTAAAAAGTTTTTTTTTAAATACGTTTTCTTGTTGCTTAAAAAAAAAAAATCACTCTCACTGCCCCAGAAAAGTCTCCTTTATAACAAAGAATCACAGGTAAGGAAGAGAAACCCATACTTAGAATCTGGACCCACCCGACAGCCTCTGTCTCCTGCATCTATGTTCCACCACCTCTCAGACCAGAGGGTAAAGGTCGCTCACTCTCTATATTGTGTTCCCCTTCCTTACTGGGATGTCATCTCCATGAGGGTCTTTGTATCCCCAGAACCTTAGAGTGTCCGACAAGTAGTCAGCATTTAGTCAGCACTTTTCATTTATTCAATTCGTCATCTCAAGTTTGATCATGCATTGTGTTCTAACTTGTTTCATTGCTGTATTTCTTTACATTACTGTGGTCCCTTTTCTTATGGACGTAGGAGCTGTCATTTCCAGAGCCAGTTCGGGTTCCCCAGGCCCGCCTGTTTACGAGGGCTGGGACTGAGGTTATTTTGATGAGCAGCTTCTTCCCACCCAATGGGGACTGTTTTCAAGAGGTCAAGTTTCAGCCCAGCGCAAAGTGCCTCGAAAGATTATTGAGTGGCAGGCAAGCAGCGAACAAGAAGCCAACCCATCCCAGCCCGAGCCAACCTATGGGTGGCGAGCACGGGATCTCCGCTGGCCACTCCTCTTCGGCCTAGCCAAGTGCTCTCAGTGCTCCGCCTTCATAAACGGGACGTTTCCAGGGGCAGCACCCTCATTGGCTAGCTGAGGCTTCCCCGGAGAAGACTGGCCGGCGCGGGGCGGCTGCGGAAGCCAAGCCTGATACCGTTGCAAGCACCTTGCAGCTTCGGAAGAGTGGGGCGCTGTGTGTAGCTTGCGGCCTAGATCGCTGATCCCGGAGAAGCGTGCTAAGTCAAGAGACTTGTGCGCAAAACCTACGTCTGAGGCCAACTGCCTGTGCGACTCTGGACAAGTCACTCCGTGAGCCTCAGTTTCCTCACCTGTAAAACGAGAGGATTGAAGTAAGTGACTTTTGAAGGCCCTTTCGATTGTACGAATGATCTCAAAAGCCCCTTTCCTAGTTCTAATATAATGACACTGATAACGTATTGTATGTCTCCACGTGTAGGCTAGTTCGGTAATACAAGGAGAAAGCCTTGTACAACCTTTCCGTTACTTTAGAGACAATTTTTCATTAAAGAATTTATCAGACAGTACTTTTCTTGCCTCTGTGGCATATCAGAATATAGTTGTGCCATCGTGTCTGACTCTTCATGACCCCATTTGGGGTTTTCTTGGCAAAGATACTGGAGTGGTTTGCTATTTCCTTCTCCAGCTCATTTTATAGATGAGGAAATGAGGCAATCAGGGTTGAATGACTTGTCCAGGGCCACACAGCTAGTAAGTATTTGAGGCTAGATATCAACTCAGGAGGAAGTGAAGCTAAAGTGCTAGGACTTTAGAAGTTCTTGGTGTGCTCAGAGACCAAGTTTCTCCAGGAGTGGAAGCATTAGTTAGTTTTCCAAGAAACTGGTCTCAATGAGATTTCATGAAAAATGTGCTTTGAAGCTTGTCCGTTGCACTTTGGACAGTTTAAGGCATGAGATACTAAGCAAGATTTTTAAAAATAACAGTACATGTGCCACGATGTCCTATATTCCTGGGGGTTCTTGTGCCTCGTGTTTTAGGATAGGCCAAAACTCAAAAACCATTTTGTAAGAGAAGAAATGGAGACAGCTTCAGGGGTAAAGACAGTGTGATGGGCTGTTTATAGTAATGCTTCTTTCTCAGTCTCTGGGCTAGTCGACTTAAATTGAACAAACGTTTATTTAAGCACTTAGGTGCCAGGAACCAGGATGCAAAGAGGGCAGGGATGGGCTCTGTACCTCTGATTTCACCAGCATGGGGGATTTTGAAAAAAGAAACTACCACTCTCAATGCAGGTTGGTGCCTTCTCTGCACCATAAAAGTCTTCAAGAGTAGCCTGCTGGAGTGATGTATAGTGACTTGTCCAGAGTCACATAGACAGTGTCAGAGGCAGGGTGTGAAATGAGATCTTCCTAGGTCCAAGCTCCGCTTTCTATCCATCATACCACTCTGCCTGTCTGTGGTTGTTGTTTGTCCTTCGTTCTCAAAGAGGACCATGAGATCAGGGAGGTGATGCTGTGATACGTAAGTGAATTGGATGTAAGTGAGGAGGGGCTGTCTCACTCTCTCCTCTCTCCTCTCTCCTCTGGAGCCATCTGGGTCCAGTGGCAAGATGTAGATAGATGACTGGAGGTGGCCCTCCCCTCTGAGTTATACAAGGGGCTTATATTCTGTTGTGACTATACAGTCTGTAAAGAGGGAAGTGCTATATAACTCTTCAAACTTCTTCAAAGGATCATAGTTATATAGCACTTCTCTCTTTACTGACTGTATAGTCACAACAGAATATAAGCCCCTTGTATAACTCAGAGGGGAGGGCCACCTCTAACATGGGACCCTCCTAACAACCCTGTGAAGTTGAAAGCATCATCCCTATTTTATAGATATGGAACTGAGGCTAAGGGAAGTTAAATATCTTATCCAGTCTGAGGTCAAATTCGAACTCAGATCTTCCTGACACCCAGTCTAACACTCTTACCCACTGTACCACCTAGCTGCCTTGCTTGAGTATGGGTCCTTTGGACCCAAATGCAGCATTCTTTTTTTTTAATGGATTTTTTTTCAATTACCAAGAATTTTTTCCCCATCTCTTTCCCCTTCTCTTCCACTAGAAAAAGAGAAGAAAAACCAAAACCCTCATAACAAATATGCACAGCCAAGCAAAACAAAATCCCACGTTGGCTCTGTCCAAAAATGTATCTTTTTTGCATATTTCATCCTTCATCTCTGTCAGGAAGTGGGTAGCTCTCCTCATCATTGGTCCTCTGGACTCATGTTGATGAGAGTTCTTAAGCCTTTCAAAATTGTTCATTTCCAAGCTCAGCAGTCTTAAGAGGCAGAAGTGTGGCAGGAATGTATTCCATGCAGAGGGGACCAGCCTTTAACAAATGCACAAAGTCAGGATGTTGGAATGCCCAGTTTGGGGAGTAGTAAGTAAGCCACTATGGCCAGAATGTCCATTGCCTGAAATCAGGTAATGTGTAATGTGTGGAAAGGGAGGCTGGAAGGAATTTTAGGGATCATCTACTTCGACTCCCTCATTTTACAGACGAGGAAACCAAAGCCCAGTGACTTGCTTGAGGTTACAGAAGTAGTAACAGAGACAGAGTTTTAATCTAAGCACTCATTACTTTTTACCTGGACTATTGCAATAGCCTCCTAATTGGTCTTCTACCTCAAGCTCTCCCCTCTCCAGTACAATCTCCACAGAGTCACCAAAGTTATTCTACTTAAGTGCAGGTCTGACTATGTCGCTCTCCCATTCAGTAAACTCTAGGGGCTAGATCTTCATCCAGAACATGACCACTAACCGTGGGTGACCCAGTGGCTCAGTCCTGGGCTCTCTTCTCTTTCTCTACTGTTTCACCCAGCAGTCCCATTGACTCCAGTGGATTCAGTTGTCATCTCTATGCTGATAATTCTCAAATCACTTCCTCCGGCCCTGACCTTTCCATTGACCTCCAGTCTTACATCTCCCACTACCAATTGGACATCTCAAACTGGATGTACCACAGACATATTAAATTCAACATGTCCAAAACAGAATTCGTGTTTTCCCCCAAACTTCTCTTCCTAACTTGCCTGTTCCTGTCAAGGATACCATTATGTTCTAGTCACTCGGGCTCTCTCACACCCTGTATCCCAGTATATTGCCAAATCTTGTTGTTTCTACTTTTGTAAAATCTTTCATATATGCCCCCTTCTCTTGTCTGAGACTGCTACCACCCATAGGTGCTTAATAAATGCTTATTGACTGGCTGACAGACTGACATCAGCCCAGGCATTGATGATCTTTCAAAAGTATGTGTGGAACAAAAGAAACTGCATCTAACTCATAGTCTAGGGACCTAGATTCTGATTCTGTTTTTTGCTGTTTGCTACTTGGGTGCCCTTGGGCAAGGCCCTTAAATTCTTCGGATCTCAGTCTCCTCTTGTGTAAAACCAAGGGGTTGTACTGTAGCAGGTGCAAGGTCAATTCTAACCCTAAACTGTGCAGTCTTGGACTTATGTTAACACATAAAGAGAAAGTCAAACTCAAAGGGAATGGACAGAGAAAAAAAAGAGCATTAATATCATAGAATGTCACAGTTAGAAGGACCCTGAGAAGTGACCAGTCTAACTCCTTTTTTTACTGATGGGAAAAGTAAGGCCCAGAGATGGGCAGTGGTTTGTTTCTCTTAACATCTCAGGAGAGGCCTCAGCCCAAAAGCAGGCACCCCTTTGGGGAAGAATTCCCAGGGCATTGGAGGATAGAGAACAAGAGGTACATGTCATTGGTTTGTGCCATTGGCTTGGACCAAGGGAGCCTTGTATGATCAGCCTGAGGCCCAGTTAGAATGACTTATCTTGAAGCTTATCTGTAGACACCATATGTAATATGGCTATCATACTTCTTGCTTTCTCAGTGGGTAGGAGATAGGGTGGAGGGAGGGAGAGAATTTGAAACTGAAAATTCAAAAAAGGTTTAAAAAGAAAATAATAGAAATGTATCTGCCAATTCAAACCTAAATTAACAAATCTATTTTATTTTATTTTATTTTATTTTTTTTTAACTAATGACTGCTCTACCACTACTTGCAGGTTTACTTTTTCTTGACAGATATAGGGGAGGAGAATCTGAGGAATGACTATACGGGGCTGGTTGCTTCAGGCAAGAGGGAGGATCTGTTCTCACACATATACCCTGCCATAACCTTTTTTTTGTTTGTTTCTTAATGAAAAGCCCTGTTCTGGGCAGAATTGATCCCCTTTGTGTCTTTAGGCAGTAAATAATAATAGAAAGTTAGACCTGCAAGGGACCTTCAAGATTGTGTAGTCCAACACCCTCCTTTTTATAAATAAGGACACTGAGGTCCATTTGCACAATAATAGCTAACATTATGAGATGAACATGTAGGCCTGTCAGCTTCTCTATGATAATTACTTGCATGACCTGAGATAAATTACTTCCTTTTTCTAGGCCTCAGTTTCATCACCTGTAAAATGAAACAGTTGGATGAGATGACCTCCAAGGCCCCCACCAGCTCTCATCTGGTGATATTGTGATCTCGCATTTCTGTGGTGCTTTCAGGTTTATAACGTATCCTTCTTACAGGAATGCTTGTTGCTTCTGTGGGGGTACTGAAGCAAATACAACAGCGTTGTTCCCAGTTCCCTAGAAAATTATAAACTCTGGAGGCCCCTACTCTTATTCACAGGGGCAGGGTACCAGGTGGAGTCCTTAGAACACTTGATTTATAGATAAGACACCTCGCTTTTATTGACTATTCTAGACTAGCTGTGACCTTGGTGGCTTCATGGATGAAGTGTGGGGCTGGGAGTCAGGATGACCCGAGTTCAAATCTGGCCTGAGACATTTACTAGTTGTGTGGACCTGGGCAAGTTACTTAACCACTGTTTGCCTCAGTTTCCTCTTCTTTAAAATAGTAATAATAATAGCAGCTACCACCCAGGGTTGCTGTGAGGATCAAATGAGATACTAATTGTAAAGACTTAGCCAGGCACGTCGTTATATAAATATTAGCTATTATTGAGCAAATGACAACCTCTCTGGACCTCAGTTTCCTTATTCATAAAAAGGAGGGTGTTGAATTACACGATCTTGCAGTTCTAACTTTCTATTATTATTAACCTCCTAAAGACACAAAGGGGATCAGTTATTATTAGGTTGTAGAAGTGAGAGCTGTATGACATCTAAGAGGTCACCTAGTCCAACAGGATCCTGAGGTCCAGAGAGGAACAATTTACCTAAGATCACACACGTCACATCCAGTAAGTGGCACAGCTCAGCTTCGTAGCCGGGTCCTCAGACTCCAAATTCAATTCTCTTTCAGCTGTCTCACGATTGATGCTATTAACAGTATCGATGAGAGAATCATCCATTTGACACCTCGAAGGACCTCAGAGGTCATCTCGTCCACTCCCCTCATTTTACAGTTGGGGCAACTAAGATCTAGAGGGGTTAAGTGACTTGCCCAGCATTACACAGTTTAAGTGACAGAGTCGGGGTGTCAAATTCATGTTCTCTGACTCCAAATTCAGGGCTTTTCCTCCAAAATCCACGGATCCTTTAACTTTGCCCTCTTAAAGAAAATAGCATAGTAGCAAGAGGCAGCTAGGTGGCTCGGTGGATAGAGAGCCAGGTCTGGAGTCAGGAAGGCCTGAGTTCAAATTCAGCCTCAGACACTTACTAGCTGTGTGACCCTGGGCAAGTCACTTAACCTCTGTTTGCCTTAATCCGTTGGAGAAGGAAATAACAGACCACTTCAGTATCTTTGCCCTATGAACAGCGTGGTCTATGGGGTCACTAAGAGTCAGACACACTGAATGACTGAACAACAAAGCAACCATAGGCCCAAAGGGAAAAGCATGTGACCTGAGGGTGACCATGCAGAATAGTCAAGGTTTTGTTTTTTTTTTAATCCCTTTCATTTTTCATCTGAGTCATTGCAACCCAAGGCATTATAGGTTTCTTGGGCAAAATTTCAGGTGCTGACTCAGGATTTATAAATAACTACAGTTACTCACTAACCAGTTTTAGGCTGAAATGAACTTAGTGTTGTTCATCTCAACAAAGTCCAAATGGACTCTCTGTGTTTGCCTGACACCAGAACATCAGAATGAAAGCTCAGACGGCCATTCAAATGTTTGGAAATAGCCAGATGACTGCAGGACTTTTTTTTTTTACTTGTATCCAGCTTTTTGACATTCAAGAGACCAGGAGGTGGCAACCTATTTGAAATGGCATGCCAGGTTTTCATATATTTGGTTCCTCCTGGGAGATGGACTAGGGAAATTGTGGCAGTCTGGTGGAGTCAGCAGAAAGGATGCTGATCCAGTCTGTCATCAGCCCACGGGCAGAGGCAGGCTTGGGAGCACCCCAGGAGGCAGAGGTGATGGGGGGGGATAGAAAGGGACAATGGCTCTCTTCCCCTGCTCTTAGCCAGATCCCGGAGCTGCCATTTAAAACGCAGATAGTGATGGGAAGGTTAATGCCCTTAGCTATTCTGTCCTGTTAAATAGGGCTTATCAGGAACCTCAGAATTGGAAGAGGCCTCAGAAGGCTCTCTTATCCAACCCACGTCCCATAAGGAATCCCACTGCCAACACCAGCGAAGCCATTTTCCAGCTTTTGCTCGGAAAAACTTTGATAAGGGGAACATACCATTGGTAGCCTGAGGAGACCTTTTTCAGTTTGAGAGAGCTCTAACCTTTAGAGCTCCCAGAGCAGCTAGGTGTCGCAGTGTATAGTGGATAGAGTACCAGGCCTGGAGTCAGGAAGACTCATCTCCCTGAGTTCAAACCTGGCCTCAGATACTCACTAGCTGTGTGACCCTGGACAAGTCACTTAACTCTGTTTACTTCAGTTCCTCATCTGTCAAATGAGCTGGAGAGTGAAATGGCAAACCACTCTAGTATCTTTGCCAAGCAAACCCCAAATGGGATCACAAAGAGTCGAACACAACTGAAACAACTGAATAATAAGAAACCTTTAGAAGGAGGCATCTTAATAGCTTGGTTGATAGTGTGCTGGGCCTACAGTCAGGAAGACCTGAGTTCTAATGTGGCCTCAGACACTTACTAGCTGTGTGACCCCGGGCAAGTCACTTAACCTCAGTTTGCTTTAATCCTCTGCAGAAGGAAATGGCCAACCGCTCTGGTATCTTTGCCAAGAAAAGCCTGCGGACAGCATGGTCTACAGGGTCTCAAAGAGTTGGACATGATTGAACAACAATTTTTAGAAGGTGATTCTTTACATCAATCCTAAACCCATCTTTTGGGAGCTTTCGCCTGCTTGCTTTGCTATCTGTCCTTCAGCAAACCTCCCAACAGTCTAATCCTTTTTCTCTATGACAAGACTTTCAGGTACTCAGCTAGAGTTTTTCATTGCTCACCTCACTGAACACCAAAGGTTAACTTTTCAACCACCCTTCTGGTTTGTTTAGTCAGGATCTTACAATACGAGTTTATCACGAGCCTGGGGTGGGATGGGGGAGGAATCCTTATTGAGTACCTTTCACTATACCTGAGACAAGGGCATTACATAAAGCAAGAAGACTTCAGAAAGGAAGTAGTTGTGGGAGGTTGCTGGTCCAGGTATGGAGGCGCAAACTTTGTCTGTGATAGTGTCTCTGTCTCTTTCCGTGGCTGCCAGAGGAGTTGCTAAGAATCAGTTGAATCAGCCCCTTCAACTCAGAAGGGACCTTTGAGATGACCTAATCCAGCTTCCTCATTCTCCAAGGAGGAAACTTGGTTCTGGGGAAGTGAAAATACTTGATCTAAGCTCCCCTAGTCGGGATGTGGAAGAAGAGGGGGCCCCCCAAATCTAGCTTTTCTGACTCCTAACCCTTCATGCTTTCCTCTAATCTTGGACACACGTGGCTTAACTTCCCGTCCTCTGTTGTAAATACAGCCACTGCTGAGCCCTGAAGCTCTGGGCAGAAAGTTTGTTTGCTCAGTTAATCTCTGAGGGTTTTTAACGATGGAGTTCTTTGCTCACATTTTGTCCTGTCCTGGAGAGGAATGTGAAACTGTAGAGGGTAGGGGAAGGGAGAATGTAACAGCGGGTACAAGTGAGAAGAGAGAGAGAGATGTGATGGTGGGAACCGGGTGTGGGTACGTGGGAAACAATCTCCTGCGCCCATCCACTACCATCTTGAAGTGTCTTTTTTATTGCCACTCTATATAATCAGCTCTGTTTTAAAATTTAATTCTCCAACCTTCCCCCTCACCTCCTGGAACAGTCCCACACCTTTAGTTTTAGGGGTTTCTATAGATGTTTGGATGGATGGAATAAGCATTTCTGAAGTGCTTAACTCTATCCCTGGTTAACCAGTCAACCACTCTGATTTCATACCTACTCTATGCCCAGCCCTGTGTTGAGGGTGGTAGAAAAGGCAAGGCATGGTTCCAGGGCAGGGTCCTATGTGCCAGGTATTATGTGAAGCACTCTCCAGATATCACATTTGATCTTCACAAGAACCCTGGGAGGTGGGTGCTATTATTATCCCCATTTTACAGTTGAGTAAACTGAGGCAAATAAACTGTTGTTGTTCAGTACTTTCAGTCGTGTCCCACTCTTTTTGACTCCTTTTTGGGAGTTTCTTGACAAAGAAACTAGAGTGGTTTGCCATTTCCTTCTCTAGCTCATTTTGCAGATGAGGAAACTGAGGCAAACAGGATTAAGTGACTTGCTCAAGGTCCCACAGCTAATAAGTGTCTGAGGCTGAATTTGAACTCAGGTTTTTCCAGCTTCGGGCCCAGTGTTCTATCCACTGTGCCATCTCACTGCCTCTGACTTTGTAAGTTAAGAAATGCTTTAAGTTAAAAAGCTTATTAATTTGGACTTTTGTCATCATTTTGTCTTTTATTACATTTCTTTTCTTTCTTCAGCTCTCAGAAGGAAGAACTACAAATGAGTGCAAGGGAGAGGTTTGAGGTTTTTTTAAAGAACTTTTAAAAAATGTTTTTTAATGCAGTATCACCGCTTTTCCTTTCTCCAACTTCCTTTTCTGTTTGACCTCCGCTCCTGATCATTTTAACTAGCTGTACCATATGCCAGTCTTTCCCCTCAGTTCCCCTCCCTTTCTGTGGTCTGTATCGCTTTATCACATGAGAAGGAAGAACTGGGGCTCCTGCTTTCTATCCTCCCAAAGTTTTTCTGTTCTTGTCTAGCTTCATTTATCTACAGCAGCCATACCCAGAGCTACCTCTTCTGAGGGAAACTGAGCTGTTTGGGGCTTTTTTGGGAGGAAGTATTTGTGCCCATTACAACAGCCTTTATTTTTTCTACTTTGTCTTCTCAGACTCTGCTGCTCAATCCCAGCCTTCAACGGCATAGCCCAGTACAGTCCTGATGACTCCAACTCAGACCCAGGTAAACCCGTGAGCGTGCCCAGGCTTAACGGAAATGTCCTTTCTTGTTGGGTGGGGTGCCAGGGAAATGATATCTGAGAACTTTTCCTCCTCTGTTATTGTTCTCTCTGCCTTTTGACAGGGCTTAACCTTCTCTTCTGACGTGTCCTTGTTTTCAGAAATAACCCTTATTTCCCCCACTTTAATGCTAACCTGAGAGGCACCATGGAATAGTGGGTAGAAAGCTGGTCTAACAGTTCCGAAGGACTTAGGATGAAAAGTGCTATCCATCTCCAGAGAAAGATCTGAATGCAGATTGATGCAAGCATTTTTTAGTTTATTTTTATTGGGTTTTTTTTGGGGGGGGTCTGTTTTTCTTTCACAACAGACTGATATGGAAATAATGTTTTGCATGACTGCCCATGTATAACGTGTATTAAATTTCTTGCCTTCTCAGTGACGAGGGGAGGGGAAGGATTTGCAACTCAAATTTTTAAAAAATGAATAATAAAAATTGTTTTTACATGTATTGGGAAAAAATAAAATATTAAATAAAAAGGAAAAAAAAGGAAGCTGATCTGAAAGTCAGGAAAACCTGAGTTCAAGATTTACCTCTGACACACACTGGCTGTGGGACCCTGGACGAGTCATTTAACTTCTTAGGGCCCTAGGCAGCTCTCTGAGATTACAAATTGCAGAGAAGGCACCAACCTGTGTTGGTGAAGGGAGTTTCATCATCTGGGAATTCCTTATACCAGTGAAATCACAGGTTCAGTCCCAAGTCTTCATCCTTGGTTAACCAGTCAACTGTCCTGATTTCTTACCTATTCTGTGCCTAGCAGGGTGCTCAGGATCATGGAAAAGGCAAGACGTGGTTCCTAGCAGGGCCCAACCCTAGAATAAGTGTGAATTGTGTCTTGCAACTCCTGCTAATCTCCCTTTTCAAGCTCCTTCTGCCTTGTACCATTCACTCACCAGCTTCAGATAGATCTGATGTACTTCTCTTCTCTCCACCCCCTTCCCCCCTGCTTCTTACTTTGAGATCAGTTACTTATACCCCGGTGCGAATCAGTCACTGGGTTACCTCACAACAGTTATTTGCATTTAAACCTTAGCTCCAGCTGGGAAATAAAAGACTTGTTATCTCCCCCCCACTCAGAGCGCCCCCCCCTCCACCAAAGGAGATAGATGAACCAGGTTTAGGGAAGGAGGGATCTCCCTAAACTTTTGACACTTTGCCCCCTAAGTTTGACCCTGTCCCTGCCTGCTTTGTCCATGTTGTTCAGGACTATCAGGAAATGGAAACATATTAGTGAAATTCGGCATGTTTGGAAGGGAATAAAGTTTGTCAGGAGGTATGCCTTGTCAAACCACATTGCACTGAGGCCCAGGGAGTCATGCTTTTCAAGTCACTATTAAAGAAGGCATTGTTGAATTTGATGACAGGAGGGCCCTTTCCTCTTCATCCTTTCTTAAAAATACTAATAAAAGCAGTGGGAGTTGTCACTCACAGTATTTTTACTTCTTCAACATTCTAATTATGAGTTTTGTTGTTATTTTGTATCAGTCTCCTCCCCTGAAAATTCTCCTTTATAATAAATAGGAAGCACAGCTAAGCAAAATAAATTGACGCATTGATAGCATTTGACAACATATGCCTTATTCCTCGATTGACATAATACTTTGCCCATAGAAAGTACTTAATAAGTATCTGTTGAAGGAATGAGTGAATGGCGTAATTTAGTCCACTACTGACACTGTAAGCTATAGGTAAATTACTGATGTGTATTATTAGAGGGAGTTTCCATATTGGAAGTTCCCTAAGGCAATAAAATAATAGATTTGGTTATGTGTGTGTGTGTGTGTGTGTGTGTGTGTGTGTGTGTGTGTGTGCATGCCCATATATGTACAGCTATTTCTTGATTAATCCAAACAATGAATTCTTTGAAATTGTTGCATGTATTCAAATTGAAATTATAATTATATCATATATGGGAATTGGTTCCCGGAAGAGGTGTGATAAAGCCCATTTGAATGGCTTCCAAGAGCCAATTGTTAAATTTCCAATGTGAGTGTTTACACTTTGGACATCAGCAAATGCAACATATTAGGGCTTGATTTATTGTTTTGTTGATTATTGAGACTTAAGAAAGTAATGGAGAAAATTTTAATAATGCAAATGAAACTGAAAAGTCTGTGGTTGGCACTTTTTTTTTTCTTCAGGGAGCTAGTTATTAAACATTTACCAGCATACTCCAAGTTCCAGTCCAGTGGAAATAGGCTACGTGAATCCTGGTAGTCCTTGTTTGTACTGAGGAGTCACTTAATGTATCCACACTATTTGGGACCTAGGATATGGCATATGTTACTAACCCACGTGTTCTGACACCAAAATCTAGTGTTATTTCCACTGCACCGTGCTCTGTGATAAGTGTATAGCCTAAATGCAACCTCCTCCTTACTGTCCTTAGACAGAAGTAATTTCTCCCAGAACCCCTTTAGTGTTGCTTTTTTTCCTCTCTTATTTGTGCTTTCATGTTCTTTATTCTATTATAGTTCTATGCATGATATATATAGTGAAAAGACCACTGGGTTAGGTCAAGACACTTGAATTCCTATCTCAACCCTTCCAGTGATTAACTGTGTTACTGTAAGCAAGTCATTCACCTTCTCTGGGCCAAAGTTTCTTTCTTTATCTGTAAAATTAAGGGAGTCAGAGGAAAGAACGTTTATGGCCTTATCTAGCTAAGAATTATTATTATTATTGTCACTACTAAAATTATTATATATTATTAATAATACCCCCATGATTCCTATGATGTCTGTATGCTAGGCTGAAAGTCCCATAAGGGCAGGGACCATGTACTTTACTTATATTTTTCTACCCCATAACATTTAGCATAATACTTTAATTATAGAATGCATTCAATAGATAGCTATTGAATGAAATAATAAATTGCAATGTATAAGGTAGAGTAGTCGAAAAGAGCTGTGGATTTGAAGTCAGAGTACCAGGGTTCAGATCCTGGCTTTTCCCTTTATTAGCCATGTGACCTTGGGCAAGTCACTTTTCCCCTCTTCCCACAGTTTCCTTATCTGTAAAATCAAGAGTGTTGGATTCTGTCATCTCTAGGGTCCCTTCTCTACAAGTTCTCTGAATGAATGAGGTTTGACCAAGTGCTGAGAATTGCATTGACTCTAGTCTTCTTAATGGTGGTCTGTGAAAAGATGACTTCCTAATATTACTTCCTTTTGTAACAGCTACTGTAAGATCCCATTTTAAAAGATACTCCTATATATGAGTAAGTTCCTTCCTACCCTGAAATCTGTGGGTTTAGAACACTTCTAAAACGCCACCTTGTGGTGAACATTATTATCTTTATTTCATTACTAAAAACCAAACTAACCCTCCCCCCCAAAAAAAAACAACAGAAAAACAGCCAGCCTCTAGAAAGGAGATAACCATGTTTGCATTATTACTCTCACTAGATTATTTGAAGAAAATACTTTGTAAATTATAAAGGTTTATATGATAATAATGATGATGATGATATTTCTAAAGGAAAGAATAAGATGTGATCAAATAATATACAAGATGGGATTGATTACCAATAGGTTATCAAGCCAAGCTGGTCACATCCTAGGCAGAATATGCTTCAAATATCCATTTATGTTCATGGTTTATATACTTCGTACAAAATGCCAAGTAGGTACTGTGGGGAAGATTAACAAAGAAGTATTTGTCCTCATCCTCAGAGAGTTCTAGAATCTAGAATATGGCCTCTGTCCAGGTTTGCCCCTTGATCCATAATCCTGTTTGGGGAAAGGGGGAATTCTTGGTCACAGAAAGAGAAGGAAGAATCTGTGTGCTAAGCACCCTTTTAACAGATTTCTGTATTCTTCTCTTTACCCAAACCCTGAATTTTTAGGGGGGACTTTAATGAGAAGTTGGGCTATCTGTACTTTTCTTCTGGGCATTCCTTCAAGCATACTTCTTTGGGATCCTACCATATACAAGGCATCACCCTGTGTTTACAGTCGTGTTGGTCCCAACACTCTTTCTCCCATGTTTTAAACAAATTTGTTAAATAGCCACATATGCAGTGTGGTATGGTGAAAGATTGCTGGAGTTGGAATCTAGGATAACTGGATTTAAGGCCCGGAACTGCTGCTTATTAATTTGAGACCTTGGGCAAATGACTTAAATTCTTTGTACCTCAATTTCCTCATCTTTGAGGTAGAGATGACAATCCCTGTACTAAGACATGCTTCTTAGGAGCAGTGTGAGAAAAGTACCTTTTTCCCCCTCCTTAATTTAGCCAGTTCTGAATTTAACAAACACCAAATCAAATGAACATTTCCATATACAAAGTTCAATAGAAAAAAGAAGATTGTACCTGAAACCACAAGTCTGTTATCTATAGCTTGCTTTTCCTTTTAAGTATTCATTATATTCAGCATGTGACCTTCAGAGCTGTCCTGCTTGCCTGCATTTCCCTCTGGACTGAGGAAAGCCCTTTGTCAGTGCTATAGAAATGGCAGTCACTTCATTTGAAGTGAAGCAAGCTAAACTGGAAGAAGAGTCCGCACCAGCAGTCTCAAGCACACAGCCGCCTGTGGTCCTCAACACCCTCCCTTTGATTCAAATATAATTGGGAAATATTGAAGAAAATAAATAAAAATACAGCAGAACATAGATAATGTTAACATGTGGTCTTCTGAGTCAACATGCAGCCTGCAAGGATCCTTATATACAATTTCCTATTTCTATTTAAATTTGACATCATTGGTTTATAATACATAATGGTTATAATAATGAAAAGGAAAATAATGCTAAAAGAGACCAGACTTCAGACCAATTAAAGAAAGACCCATCTCGACTCCAGTAGTAAAATAATACCCAATAGTATTACGTAATAGTAAACATAGTAAAACATACCTCTTACCTTCCAATATATATATGTGTGTGTTCACACATGTATGTGCATGGGTTTAAGATTTTCACGAAAAGAGAGTAAGGTT